ACATTGTTTGACAGAATAATTTGAACTATAGTATTTGTTATAATAATATGTATAGGTAATCACATGATTATTCTCCTGAAATTTGGAATAAATTGTAAGCAGAAGGAAACTTTTCAAAGGCTAGCAAAATTGCACAATCCCGTAGGGCAAGTGCAGTTTGTACATGTAGTCTAAAAATTTACAAGTGCTTATTTATTCCTGATTGCATGAGAAAAATCATTTGATTACTTGTTAATAAAACACTTGAAAACAAACATACTACATGTACTAATGTACATGTATTTAAGGTCTTTGTCTAGTTTCCTCAGGCAGGCTGCAGTGTGTTTACATGTAGTATTCCAAAACTCTTCAAAACTTTCCAAAAATATTTGCAAAAGTCCCCACAAATTTGCAGTGGTGTTACATTGTACATGAAAACTGCACCAATCAGAATCCTGTGTATTTGTCAAGTGTATTATTATCAATTAATGAGGTCATAAAGGTTGATCCTCTGTTTTCATTATAGGAATACAAACCTGTTCCTAAGAAGAGACTCCCTTCCAAAGAATCTGGAAAGAAAAGAAAGTCTTCAAAGGCTGTCAGTGACAGCAGCAGCAGTAGTGATGAAGATCAGGTTAGTACCCCTACTCAGTGTGTATGCCTAACATGTACTGTATTTATGATGGCTTTTCCCTGTTTTGTTGACCAAATATTAGAGGCACTTAAAGTACCATTAGACTAAAAAGAACAAGGTGGGATGGTGGTTGAATACAGTAATGGTCATTGTTTTGCTAAAATCAGCGAGCGACCAAAGGAGATGGCACTTACCATGTACATGTACAATGTAATTCCATTTCTGCAGGCATATGACTGTAGTTATTGTTTTCCTTCTCAAGATCAGAGAACAATAATAGGAGAAAAGAATGAATAGTACAGAATTTTTTAGCAGTTCCTACAGTACCAGCCACCCGATTTTAAATGGACACTTTATGATATAGAAGATGTAGACTGATTTTCTGAAAAAAATTACTGTTCTGTTTGCTTTCTGATCAGAATTACCTGAGGATTTGTAGTCAAATGGTAAACACCAGAGAACATGCATGCACATTTTTTTTGCTGTTTTATATTTGCATTTTATGTAGTTGTGTTAATTATGCTTAAAAGGATGTCAGTGATAATGACGAGCCAAAGAACAAGAAAGCAAAAACAAAAATGGAATCAGAAGAAAAGGCAAAGACTCAGCAGCCAAAAGAAGAAGGGAAAAAGAAGGTAGAGGAAGAAAAGAGTAAAACGAAAGATGAAGAAAAAAGAAAGAAGAAGGATGAAGCCGAAAGGAAAAAACAAGAAAAGCTGCAAAAACTAGAAGAAAAAAAGTAGGTTTGAGTTCTTACTTTATAAAATTGTGCTTTAATTTTGTGTTCAGTAAAGTGTGGAATACGTGTATGTGAGCCAGAAGCATTAGAAGCGCTAGTATGTAAGTCTTGTTTCAGTCTATAGCATGAAGGGAGTGGGAGTATTGATGTCTCCAGGCTTTTAGCCAGGATTTGAAAAGTGGGTATCCAAGATGTGCTATAGGGCCTGCACGAATAAACAATTTATAAGCCAACATAATTATGAAAAACAAAACGATTTTCTTTAATAAGTGGCCGTCCGCAGGATGCCTGGACGCCCATCTGGCCTGGATGTCTCCATGGAGATGATGTGCATGTTGTACATAGATGTAGTTATAGTTCCATCTTATACAACTCTGTACCTTCCACTTTGTATTATCAATTTGTTGGTACATTTATCCTCCTTAGTGGAGATGGACTCACTGTATTGGAGTGAAGTACAAGAACACAACACTGTGAGTTACAGCTGTAGGCGGGGCTGATACCAGGCCTCTTGAATGTGGAGTCCAGTACACTGGCCATTACCTCGGTCACAGTTTTACATGCATGATGTGCATGTAAAACTCTGCCAAATACATGTAAAGAAGTTAATCCTAAGTTTGGTTTCAGTCTGTGTTCTGAATGTCAACATTGTACACAATGTTATTCATTTCATGTACATGAACTTTTTGTTGTCACCGTTTCAGAGCAATGTTGAAGGAGAAGAAGAAAAAAGAGAAACTTGAGCAGAGGAAAGCTGAAAAACTCGCTGCTGAGAAAGCTAGACTGCAGGAGAAAGAAAACGAAAAACGAGAAAAGCAAGAGCGAGAAAAAGAAAAGGAGAAGTTGAGAGCCAGACAAGAGAGGGAGCGAGAAAAGGCAAGGGAAAGAGCAGAACGGGAAAAACAGAAGGAGGAAGAAAGAAAGGAAAGGGAAAGAAGAAAGTGTGAGTAGAAAAAGGGTTTCTGAATGTAGAGCACTGTAATACATGTATCTGGATGCGTTATTTACCCATACTGTAAATTTTGCAAGAATTGTTTCCTGCAACTTTCATAATGATTATAGTCTTAAGCTTAATCATGACTGTGGTGTTGTTCTTGTTGAGTGAGGTCCATCTGCATGTAAGATTCTTTTACTGTGCGTACATACAGTGTACTAAGAATGATGCCTTTTATACATTTTTCTTTCCTTTAGCTACACCACCCACCGTGGAAGAGATATTGGACAAAATGAATTATGAGCTTGTGATGTCCCTCACTGTCGAGGCCCCAGTGAGTAATTATTAACACTCAATTAGTGCATTATAACTTAGGGAGAGGTAACCATAAGTAGCACGTGCATGGAGTGTTGACGAGGGCTACATGTGTTCGTAATAATAAAGATGTAATAATAAAAAACTACATGTATGTACTTTGTGGGTAGGAATCATGACCAACTCATATAAATTTGCAAGGGCCTACTGTTGCTTTTGTTTTTTGTGGAGTGAAGAGAAGTGCAAAGTTCTCCAGCAATGAAATGTCCTTAAAAGCGGCATTTAAAACTGCTTCCATTCATTACCTCTTTTCTGGATCCTCACTGTTTTTGTCTTACCCTGTCATAGGACGTTCCAAGATGTTTAAAAATTATCACTCAGATCTCAGATATGGAAATCAACCCAGATATCATCAAAAAGAACCCTGAAATAGTTCAGACCATCAAAAGGGTAGGTACTTCAGTGTGCCATACATTGATTGATCCCTTTAACATGTTTTTTTTCCTTTTTAGCAATGTCTGAGGCAATTCTGTATACTCATTATCATTTTTTAATTTTCGTCTTCCAGATAAGAAATTACAAACAGAATTCTAAAGTGCGAGAGAAAGCGAGTCAGCTTTACACACAGTTCAAGTCTTTGTTTCGAATTACTGGAGCAGGTGAGTGAATTGAATGCCGATCTGCTTTATACAGTTTAAATTTTAGACCTTCTTGTCTGTTAGTTACACAGTAACCAATGTGATATAAAATTAAGTATTTGAAGAAGATTTCATGATCACAATATTTTCTATGCCGACCATGGATTGGTAAGTTTGTGACGAGGTGTATTAATAATTGTTTTCGTGTTTTTGAAACCATTTTGTTGATCTGGTATAATACTCTATTCCTGTCTATTCTACAGCAAACGTTTTGCCTGTTAGAAGTCTGTCGGTAGCTTGTCGGTAACCTGTCCGCCGACAGCTTACCGACAGTCAGTTTCGGGACTTCTTCACAATTACCGATTCAAGGGCCAAAGCCGTTTGATATTCTCATGTCGTTCATTCACGCTACTGTGTAAAGTATCCACTCCATTTCTATTTTTTTTATCAAGTAGCCGCGTGGCCGAGGGGTTTGGGGACCTGGAGGTCGCTACTTCAAGTCCCGCTCTGACCACTTACAGGTAGCTGGAGTTGTTTCTCGGTAGACCCTGGTTCAGCTCTACGGTCATTGCTTGTAAATGGCTGCCTGGTCTTTTTCCAACTAGTTGGGGTTTTTAAGCCTATTATGTTTATTTGAAATATTTGTTTCTTTCAGTTTATGTGGCATGCCTGAGAACCAGTTAGGTTCGTACCTAACCGTACTGGCCACTATAAACATTCAACATTTAACTTTTATTTAACTGAAACATTTTTATATACATACCCGCACCCCCAAAGAGATACCCTTTGATAATCGCAGGTATCTTTACAGAGTAAGAAAGAAGAACTTTGGTGTTTATATAGAGTTTGTATTGGTTTTCTCAGGGCCAGTTTGTACAAAGCTGTTTTGTTTTGGTTTTTGCTTTTAATTTCAGAACCTACTGCAAACGTACCGCTGACAGTCAGTTCAAATAACGAAAGTTCTTTTCGTGATCTCTCGTCTGTGGAAGGCAACGAAAGAACGCAAGCCATTGAAGCGGAAGTCTCGAATAAACCCGAAATAAAAGGAGAGAAGAACGCAGAACCCCACTCCACCCCTACAGAGAATGGCAGTGATCATCCTGTCTCCCCTACCGGTGAGTCACAATTTACCACTGATAATACACAATGTATGGCGTCCGCTGAATCAGAAATTGTATAATAGCGAGTAATTGGTGTGATAGAACTGTGCAAAATAGGCCATTTCCGAGATGCCTTTCGCCTCTGTGTCAAAACGAGTCTTGATGCGAAACCATTAATATGAAAATGTGTTTTGTCTACAGGTTCATTTTCATTTTCATAAAATCCAACTCATCTTTACAGTATATGAAAGGGTTTGGTCGAGAACTCGTTTTGAAAACGAGGCACAAGGTAACTCGGGAATGTCCTATTAAGGGTTTGTAGCTATGGTAAGCCATGGATTTTAATTTAAATTTAGACCTTGACTAAAGTTTGGTCGCTGTTGACGGAAAGTGAGCACTTTTATGAACCTTTTTCAGTAAAAGGCGTTAATTCCGATCGGGTTTCCACTTCAACTTGAACATGACAAGAAAAAACAAAGGCAACAAAACGATTTTTTGTCAGATCAACCAAGATTGACCTCGAGAGCATTAAAAAAATATACAATACAAAGGTAAACAATGCACTGAATCAAGTTATACGAGGCGGGTGGCCTGGTTGTCAAGAAGGCCTGTTGAGACATGAAAAAATAATTATGTTGAACCGCTCAGTTGTATCATTTTCATCGCCAAGTCCTTTATTTTTCCACTTCATTGCAACTGATTAATTAAAACTTATTTTGTTTGCAGAAGCGAAACTCGAAGATAATACAAATCTAACAGGACAAACATCACTTGAAGGAAAAACTCCAGTCGCGAATAACACAACTATGGACAATCTTACACCGGAGCCAATGGAGATTCATAATGATACAACGGAAGATTTATCACCATGTGATATGGATATATCAAGCCCTGACTGAAATGTAGGACAAGTATCAACTATTTTGCGGATCAAGTGTTGCAGCATGTTGAGTAGTAATGATTTCCAAAGTCAAAGAACATTTTTAAGACCTTCATGTATGAGGTTGTTTTGCAACATGGGCATTCATGGTCTCTAGACATTTACAGAAACTGTTTTTCAGCTGCACAATGACTGCTAAAAACACAGTGACGTTGATTGTGGTATCATTATTTTTAACAGATAAGGATATAATTATGTGATTTTACTTCTCACCTGTTTTGATCCCGAGATAGAAATATATTTCCAGCTCGGTAAAGATTCTTTAATTTACAACGTGAAGGTCTGTTGTATTTATACTACACTTGTCTTGTGAGCTTTTTAGTTGTTCTGAATTAACTTGCCACTTGTAGCTATCAGGTGCGAACATTTTTAATCGCGTTGCCGAATGTAAAACTTTGTGTTTGCTTTTTTTTTTGGCACACAAAAACGAAATGTTGGCTCTTTACTTCTGCTTTATGTCATTGCTTTAAGCTAACTGGGCGATAGTTTCTACCGTTGTCACGGACCGGAATGTCTGAATAAGATTCTTTGGAGAGTCTTGTCAAAAAACTACGAGGTGTTCAGTGGGGCGCAGTCCCTGGCTTTTTTTGTGGGGAGGGGGAAGTTACGGTAGCCTAATTGTTAGCAGGCTGTTCTACTGATCAAGGGTTCTGGGTTCGAGCCCTGGCGGGTGTTATTTCGAAAATTTAAGGTGGCTCTGAACCCCCCAGCCTATACTGTTTTGAGCCACCTTGAAAAAGAAAATGCCCTCGTAAGAGATCGACCGCGACCGCTTTTAGCTGTTATGAACTGTGTGTTATCACTTGTTTTTCATTTTTCAAGCTCTGGTATGAAACCCTCCTCGAAAGACTGAAAGCAATCGTTCACTTCTGCATTAAAATGCGCTAGTGAAAACAATGGAACTGTACCGTGTTTTATCAGAACTAACGAAGATTCTAAGCGACTAGCTTGGCTATTTAAGACCATTTAGAAAATAGCCCAAAGAAAATACGCGCGCTTAAAGCAAAAATTAAGAGTGTTTTAGGTGGTCATACTGTTCCTATGGTAACAGTTATGTCACGAAAATGATTACAACGTGTTTGGCAATGACTGAGCAGGTTTTTTATACCACGATTGTATCATTAACTGATAGAGTGCTTGTAAACGACCCATCAAAATCATCGTCTTGGAAAGTGCCGCAAACTGTTTTGAGCCACCTTAAATTAAACCTAAAAGGAGAAGATTTCTACCATCTCTAAAAGATGTCATTGTTTTTGTGAAAACCTTTTATGAAGTTCAAGTTTACCTTATTACATGAAATTTTCGCGACCCGTTTATTTCGCGATTTGGCAGCGCGCATATTTTGGTGAAAATTTTGCATTTTGAATCACTTTAACTTCGCGTTTTTGAGTAACACAATCTATTTCCTTAGCAACATTACTTTAACAAGTCCTTGAATTTAGTAACCCGACTTAATTAAAGGTACAATAACGTCAAAATTAATAAAAACGCGACGAAGGGTCAATGTGTAAACGGTAACGTAATGTGAGCCACTTAATTTTCGCGTCAAGTTGTTCGCGATACTTATTATTCGCGTCACTTCAATTTCGCGACTTTTTGTAAATCGCCAAATTAATGTGTCGCGAAAATTTCTTGTAATAAGGTAATATTGACGTCGCCGTCCTATACAAAAAATACACATATTAAACATTTTGTCTTGGGTGACACGACAAGATTCGTGAAAGTTTCCCTCGTCACTGCCGTTCTGGTCCTCGCATCGTGAGGTCCCTGATGTTGCGCACAATGATGCAGAGAACATATATACCCTCAAATTTTAAAACAATACCTTGCAAGAAAACTAGAACTCCGCAACTCTTTTTTGCACCAATGTGGTGATTCGTTGTCCAGTAACCACATGTCCTCTTAGATGGCTTTTGTTAAAGTTGTGAAGCCTTCATTTCGATTCATTAATAATAGCAGTAATAATAATAATAGTTTAATAATAATAATTTTAGTTACAAATAGTATTTAAAATATTTAAACAGGGAGCCCACTTCACTATAAGGTGCTCTTCAGTGGGGCCCTGCATAAATAAATATTAAAAGTTAAAATAAAAGTAAGATATTTAAAGGAAAACGACCAATTTTTTAAGTTTTTGATTGAGGCAATTGCTGATTGAGGCAAGGTAGTAAGAACTACCTTGCCTCAATCAGCAATTACACCATGTAAATCTAAAATTATC